GGGGGGGAGAGACCAGCAGTTTAAACGTGTAGTCCACAAAATTTGGGATGGGGTTGCAAAGAGGTTGGGGTGGCAAAGCTCTCTAACCGTAAAAGTTTGGGCTTTGCTGAGCTCAAGAAAAACATTTCTGCCACGATTCCTTTACTTTTTAGTAAGTGTTTTACGGCGCTCGCAACTGCATAAGGTCATTTGAGAGCGTGAAACACATTAAGTTGGTTGCATTCACAACAGTTCATTGCACGGCTGGGCTCGAGTCAACTGCAGACACCACGGGGGGAAAGTCCGGGATAAGACTGGACAAAGGGACCTGTGCTATTCACCACGGATTTATGAAGAGGACTGGGAGAATTCTTTCTCAGTAATTCCAAAAAGGTGTATGGCGAGGGATTGGCTGAATTATTATTATTGTCCGTCGTGCATTCAAATTGGCAGATCCAGGTTTGACATTCGTTAAGTAAGGGCATGATATATTATATATATATACACAGACAAAAAGTAATGGGAAATGGGGTGGGGACGATTTTTTAATATTCTTCTTTTTTCCGGAGTAGGGGGCATGAAGGCAAGTTGCAGTGAAGGGGATAAAGGAAAAAGCAGAAAGCATAACGTAGAAGAACTCGGGGACCGTCTCTTACCGTGTGTCTGACAAGCTAGTGCAAACACTTTTCCCCCCTCAATGTATTTTATTCACAAACGGAATTACCACTGGGAATACTATACCTAAATTATTTTTAATAAATATAAAAAACATATGTGAGACGGCGTGGTGAACTCAGGCATTCGTTAAAATAATGAAATTGAAGGAAATTGGCATTTTTACGCTGGTTTAGCCATTTTTATAGAAAAAATTTGTTTTTTTGGCTGAACACCTTTTAAGTCCATTTAAGAGCCCATTTCTGTGTGGGACCTACAGAAAAGCGTTTATCAAAGGAACATTATGTAAATTGCCTGTTTCCTCGGACTTTCAGGCTATGTAAACAACCAAATTTTGACGGCTAATTTTACCTCTGAAACCAAGCGACCCCCACCTCCTTCAATAGCAAATATCTCCACTTTTAATCAAGATAAACGGGTATTTTTTTCCATCGAAAGCAATGTAAATGGACAAGCCTTAAAATCATACCATTAATTCCCCATGTCCAAACGCTGTGACACATATTTCTTAAAACCACCACTAAAAACTTTGAACAGTTCTGGTAATAGATAAGAACGGAATTATGATTGTTTTTTAATGGGTTTTTTAATTTCAACTTTTCTGAAAATCACCATCCACATGTTCGATTGATGTCGGGCATCGATGCAATAATATTTTTTTCAGTTTGTCCTAATTAAACAATTAGAAAGAGACATACGCATTTTCTGAACACTTGAATAGACATAAAGGCCCTGAATATTTGCTCTCAGGTATAGGTTTTTCAACTGGAAAAAGAAAACGAGGAAGACCCACAGGAAGCACAATAAGGGATGAGGCAATCATCACGAACCTGGATTTGCCGAAATTGGAGGACATGGCCAGGGACAGACAAGCGTGGCGTCGACTGCTCTCCGTCTTATGTACCTGACGGTATAGGGAGAGAGAACGTGAGTAAGTAAGGTATCGGTTGCATCTGTTCAAGAAATGTTTGGATAATTCAAATTCTGAATGTTGTAAAGCAAGAAAAAAGTACATAATATAGGTTCAATTGTCATAAGAATGAAACAATATTTTCCCTCTCCCAATTTTCCCCTTTCTGGACGTAGCACATTTAAACAGCTTGT